CCTATTCATCCTCGCAGGAAGAACCCATATGGCTGTTGAACTGCAGGAGGACCGTCTTCCTTCAGGCAGCTTAGAACGAGCTGATTTAATTTTAAACACTGACCTGGCATTTAGTTAAATAAACACACTGTTCCACTCCGCTTAGCCCTTTGGTGCTGTACTCTGGGGGGAGTGGTAAGATCACAAAGGGCAGTCGTTGGTCAAATTGGAAAACATTTACTTAATTTAAAGATGAATCACAGTCTGGCCTCATCATCCTGTCCATCGATTCCCAGGTCTCACCTTCGTTTACTCTAAGTACCAAATCTATTATTGTATCCATCCATCCATCCCTCTATCTAAAATACAGGAAGTGACCCACATTTTCTCAGAAACAATCAGAGACCAAAAAGTTGTTCAAAAAGTATGTGTTATAAGGGTGTTTTTTTTATTTATAATCAAAGACAAAAAAGGCAGTGGTGACTAAATTTCTAGATCTCAGTGAGATAGAAGATGAGAGTACACTCTCATTCAACACTGGGCTTCAATCCAGCCTGAAATCAGACGAGCCTTGTGTTCAGGCCTCATGGAAATTCAAAGCAGGGCTGGATCCTCGCTGTGGGCTGTAATGAACGGCCAAATATTGGCTTATATTAGAGAGCAGCACTTTTCTGTGTGCACAGGCATCCCTGCTGTGAAACTATGGACAAACACACTACAACACTGAGAGGATTCTTCCCCTGTTGTTCTCCTTCTGTTTTCTCAGCACTTTTCTTCACTGCAGCCATGTGTAGCACATGTAATGGCCTTTGTCCTTTTTTTAATCAACACAAGGCTTTTTGGACACTTTATGGTTAACCAACACAACCAAGAAGACACCAGCGAGGTCGTTAATGGCCTGGATGTACATATAAAATATACGTAGTGTTTCCAAAAGGAAAAAAAGCCTGTTGCCTTTTTGATTTGCTCCTTCATTCTTATTGGTAATTTGTCACTGTCTGTCCTCCTTAACCCCTTCAACAGCAAGGAAGAACAGAAGGAACAAATGAGAAAAATGGGCACTGATGAAAACTCTAATGAAAATTCACTGTGTCTGTAATGGAATACTAACGTCTGAATCCTGACAAGAGGGATCCGCTCTCACATCCCATCTCTTTAGCGTCCATCAATCATCACAAATCACCACGACAACCAGGGCATGGGCCGTTCCAGCTCAATAACAACCCATCAAAGCACAGAAAGAGAGAGATTGACCAGGAAAATAAAAATGGCATACACTGCACTGTTGTGTTAGCCAACATGCTGACGTTTTGCTTAACTTTGCATATTCAACTCTAATCGGACAGGCAAATACTCTGAGTGCAGCTGCAGAGATCGTTTCTCAAATCTGGAGGCAAAATTTAGAGTTTAATAATGAACAAGACCAACACTGAAAATATGCCAGGAATATATTTAAGTGGCATGCAAAAAACCTGAGCTCAGAACATTTGGCAGTTACACTTGAGGGAGATCAAGGCTAATGTGTTAAAACACTGCAGTTTCTGTGATGGGTGCTGGGTTCCACCTAAGACGTGCACAAAACTGTATAATGTGATAAGTGCAGGGCAGAGAGGCTGTAGAATTTCAAATAAGTAGGGAACATATGACTTTTACTATTGCAGTAAAACTTCTGAATGAAAGGCACAGACAATGACCTCTCCTCCGCAGAGTTTATGTAGAATTATGAATGAAAGAACCGGAATAACATAAGAGGGCAGGGAAAGCATTTAGAGAATGTGTCAAAAAACTGAAAAAAGTAAGGCATATGAGACTGTTCTGTAAGACAAAACCCACTCCCCACTCAATGTATTGTAATGTTTTTATCAGATGGAATAAACTAAAGATCAGTGAGTGCATAGATAAAAATACAAGCGCTATAATGGTTTGTAAAACAAACAAACTGGTATTAGGAGTGACCTTAAAAAACTCGGAGGTCTGACTCTTATGTATACTCTATGTTAGGACACCAATTAAGTGTTTTCTTTAGAAAAAAAGGTAGAAATACATGTATTACAAAGGCAGTCCCTGTACGCTCCGTCAGAGAGTGCAAAATGTCAATATAAGGAATGACAGTAAGATGGACAAAGAGGGAGAAGAGGTGGTGGAGGCAGTGGTGTAAGAAACAAGGAACGCTAGTCATGGATCTAAGCTGTGGTGTCCTACTGTCAGGCCAGTTCAGATCCAGGACAGAAGCAGTATTATAGAGCAGTAGGTCTGGCCAAGGGGAGGAACAATAGCCTCTGTGTGCTGGAGCTTCTGGAGCGTCCTAACAGCTGGGAGATAGGAGGCCTGACTGTGACTGCACTAAATGGTATGTAAAGGGCTATTACACGTTGCACACACAAATCGTAACCTCCTTCCTCTACCAGAATCCCTCAACCACCTTATTTCCACCTCTTCTAATTGATAGACCAGTGTCACTCATTTCACCCACTGGTATTTTAAGACTTGCTCATTAAATTGTCGGTTCTGTGTTGCCAACATTGCCCTATTCCACCTTTGTGTAGAAAGAGAAAGAGGGATTATTTTTACACGCATGAGAAAGTCTGAGAATCTGGCAAAGGATCAGCCATGTCAACAAATACAGTGAGAGCGGTCCAAATGCCTCCAGAAGAGTCGTGCCAGTGCTTTTTTATAACAATGAGAGCCTCTGAGACACAGGGAGAAATTAGACCTGAAAACTGGTATAGGAATGTCAGCCCTCCTAGTGAAGGGTTCACCACAAGCTGCACTTAAGACCATTGTAATATATTTGATTCTATTCTGGGACTTCACCTGTCAATACAGCCACAGATGGGCAGCGATTACATCCGGTCATCACAGAATATGTCATAATGCTTGATCCTTGAACCTGCCTTACTTTACATCAGTTTTCCTCTTGGCTTAAATAGCAGGTAATGTCAGAAGGAAAATCCAGGAAGTGCACCTGCAGAGCCTGTAATAAACTAAACATCAGACAAGACCCTGGGGGCCTTACAAAATGTCTGCACACATGCTCTCAAAATGAGCAACAGTCAAGTGTTTGACAATTAGTGTTTTCTTCGGTACGCGTCATTAAATACCGTCACAGGAAGGAGTATTCCAAACCATTTACATTCAGGCAGTATGTCCAACAGCGCGGGTACGACCACTCTGAGCTTTTGTGAAATGTATCCTATATCTTCCACTCAGTCACGTGATGGTTTGGATGCCTCTGCTGCAGACTGATAATTTTAACAGCTGCAAGGAGTTTCAGTCTGTTTTGCTAAAGAAGCCAGGGCTGCTCTTATATGCAGCGCTCTATCTATCGCAGACTCGTACAGTAACTGTTTATGAATTTAAATCACTGCAATTTAAGATGAGCCCAGTTTCTCTTTTTGTATTCATACCAGGAGCCAGACGGTGTTGCTCGCAGAAATGAGAAAAGCCACTTGTGTAAAATTGTTCTCTTGACTATGTAAATAAATAAATACAAAGCAGACAGGAATGCAGGCTACTGTATCTGTAGTTACGAGTTTGTAATAATTTCTGTTTTTGATAATAGCTTTTAAAAACAACATCATACATATAGTATATTGTTTTTGTTTGACACAGAGTTAGTGGTAATGTCATAGACCGTACATGAGAATTGGACACAGCTTTTATCTGCAGGCTTAAGTTGTAAATGGAAACAGCATAAGAAGAGCAGGAGTGTTTTAAATTTAACATTAATTAATTTAAATAATAAATCTGCATTTGTACTTTGTTGTCATTTTGTAATATTTTTGTTTGTTTGTTTTGTGATCTGCTGAAGGTTTCATCCCGTTTTTTTCAGAGCATAATTAAAATTGGAATTCTTATTTTTAAAAATATAAAGGCTATTGAGACAAATATGTTTCCTGAATTTGAGATATAAAATAACTGTCTTGACCTGACATGTTGCAGAGGTTTGTGATTTTTTTTTATTTCACTAATTTGACAATATGATAATTGCTGCACTTTTGCTGCACTATTCTAATTTCCACCCTGTAGAAAAGATGACACAAAATAACATTTTTTTATATGGAAGACCTGGACCACAGCACCACATGGGCTGACCCCAAGCAGTGCAAAAAACATCCCTAAGCCGTCAACAACTGTAAAATGTTATCATAGTTACAAAAAGGATACTATTCTTTCTTAGTCCCACTTTTTGTTGTTGTTGCTGTACTTGAAGTAGTACAAAGACGGTTTCAGATTTCGCAAAGCATGATTTTCACTGGTCTGACGGCTACCATCCCCCATGACTGCAAACCAGGCTGGGTGAAATAGACCCCAGCCCCTTATCCTCCTCTTTGAGTGGAGTCAATGCATTCTTAGTAGGAAATTAAATCACGTATTGCCGATGTCAGCGGTTCGCCCGATAGCGCTGTAGCAAACTCCTTAACTCAATGGAAAAGATATGTTTATGCATATGTGGCTTTTCCTTGTGCAGTAGATCATTTGCAGGTCCACTACAAGTATTTGCTCTCCCTGGTTTCTCACCAACATGATATCTCTTAGTCTGACTAATGTCAAGACGCCGCCGCCACCGCTGCTGCTGCTCCTGCAGAAGCTCCTGCAGATGTGGAGCGCTGCAGCTCATCAACCTCCATGCAAGTCCCGTTACATATCTGTACATATACTATATGCAGGTGTATCAACCTGCAACGTGTACTCCGATTGGGTTTTTTTTCTTTTTCCTTTTTGCGCTTTAAAGTCCTTGCGTTTTCAGCATTCCCACCTTTGTCACCTGTGCCCTGAATAAACGTACACTAGTCAGTGATGGCCAGGCAGTGTTGAATTACACGGAACATTATTAGTCTTGCTGCTGCTCCAGTTAGAGTATAACATTACAGCATGGTGGTGACTCCGTTTTAGAGGTATTTGTTTTGCTGTTGTAGTGAAGATGTAATAAGAATGTACAGTATTGGTTACTCAAGTCACATTTTCAAGTAAGGATATAAGAGAGTATTTTGCCCCGGCATAAAATCTTAGTAAATTACCTGATACGATTGTGTTAAAAATCCTCTTTAATCCTTTTCCATCCTCAGTGAGCAGCGGAGCATGCCACTGAATCCAGCACTTTAAATCTCCGGCTCGGATCCATGATTGTACTGTCTCGGATATCAAATGTACTGCTGCTGGAAGAGGCGGTGGCGACGGAGACCGACCCACTGACTTTTCTTCTGGGGGCGGTTTTATGACAATACTAAGAAAAACTGACGTTAAACTGGATTCTTTCGACGTGACGAAAGATGATGTCACATGTTAACTTATTTTAATTGTAGCCACATCTGATAAACACCCACCGACCACCCGAAGGTATTAGAAGAAGTGGTCGTTTACATTGACGCAACCCAGTATAATCGGTAATGGTGGTATGTTCCACTCTATTGTTGGGGCGCGAGAAGGTATCCCATGCAACTGAGGCGTGTACGTGGGTCCCCCTGGGACCAATCTTCTTCGGTGTATTGGATTGTCATCTGAAGTAGACACTCTGTGTTGTCCGGTTGATTAAATAAGAGGGAGTTAAAAAAATGTTTAGAAGTAAGAGCCACAATGTCCAGTGGTTGTTGTAGAGCAAGAAGTCCGTCTGTTTGCAAGTTCCATTCCATGTCTTTTGTATAGAGTTTGCATGTTCTCCTTGTGTGTGCATTAGTTTTCTTTAGCTACTCCAACATCACCCCGTGGTCAAAAACATGCAAATAGGGGATTAGATTAGTTGGAACTGACCATATGAAGGTGAGTTTCAAACTCTTTTGGCTGTTCCCTTCAGATGTCAGCAGATCATTTGCTTTCACCTCATTCTATTCCCTGCTTCCTCTAGTTTTACAACAGCAATGTCTACGTGCTCTGTCATTAAGTCCATAAAATGTCTTTTGGGTCTTCCTCTTTTCCTGTTGCCTGGCAACTCCATCTGCAACATCTTTTGATCAATATATACAGTGTCGCTCCTCAACAGATGCCCAAACCCTCTCGACCTTGCCTTTCTAACTTTATCTGCCTAACCTTATCAGCTAAACCCAAGTAGTTTATTAATTTGTTTTTTTTAGAAAGTAGTAAATACAAGTGTACGTCTTGTGAAAAACTTAAAAATATATACAAGTGTTAAAACAAAAAGGTTAACAGACGACCTTCCGTACATTTTATTTTTAAAATTTTGATTAATTTCAGCGGAAGTCCCGCCTTCTGCTTCCGTCTAATTCACAACATTCAACATGGCCGCCGCCACCACTTCCCTCGTTTCGTACGGCAGTGATTCAGATTCAGAAAATGAGAAAGAAACGAGGAGTTCTACAGAAAAGGATGACAGTAACGATCCGGACGCCACCGCCCACCTTAAACCTTTACATTCTGGACAAACAATGTCTGTAGCCGTTCTCAATTCTGCCCCTGAGGTCGCCGTCAAGGTAAGCTAACTTGGTTAGCTTTTATTAGCTCAAGTTTAAAGCCATTATTGTTTGATCACGGCGCGATTAATTCGATGAGTGGTAAATGTTCCGTTCACATAGGAAATATGAACCATGGTGGCAGATTTGTTGAGGTCTGGTTTGCTTTTTTTAAATAAACGTCTGTAAATTTGAAAGTAGCGGGAATACCTGGCGTCGAATCAAATTATGTATTCCCCGTATTATTTAAAATATTGACCGACTATTTGTCCAGGATATGCTTTACTATTAAAATGTTAATGGTTATGCTTCCACTATGATGTATAAAAAGTAAGGACTGAGTATATAGTGAATCATTTTGCATCTTAGGAATCCATTGAGACTGGCACACATCTGGATCCTGCGCTGAAAGAAGTCCCATTCAACCCAACCTATGAGACGTTGTTTGCACCAGAGGTAACATTACCTAACAAACGTATTTTACAAGTGTATTTTACAAACCTTAAACCCATAGCGGTTTGCAATGCAATATTGTCATATATTGGCATATCCATATCCATGATGCACAGAGATTTCCTGACTCTTTCAGTTTTATCGCTTCATCTAAAAGACGTGATTTTTATTCCATTAGCTTGTGCTGACAGAAGTTAAGTTGTGCTTAAAATATTGAAATGTAGGAGAACTATCATGCAGGCACATGGTTTTTACTTTCTTATGCGTTTTATTCTTGTTTTCTTATAGTTTGGGCCAACAAACCCATATAAAACCCAGCAGATGGCTGCCCCAAGAAACATGTTGTCTGGCTACGCAGAGCCTGCTCATGTCAATGATTTCATGTTTGAACAACAAAGGAGAACATTTTCCACCTACGGTATGTTATTGCTGACCTGTTGTCATCAAGAATGATGTGACTATATTAGGTAAAAACTGTTTTTCAATTATCTGTTTTTTTGACAACCCTGACAGGTTATGCCCTAGATCCCTCCGTTGACACACATCAGACTTCATCGACTAGTTACATTGGTGCAGTAGACGAAGCTGAGAAAAATAAAGGTGAATAATTTGCTCAACTTTGTTTAGGGTGTCTGTTCTATCTGATTGTTTACACATGTACTGTTTACATTAAACATGTGATCCCTGTCAAGGTTTAACTGTGTTTGAGAGTGGGCAAAAAAAAATGGACAAGCGGAAACGGATTAAAGGTGGAGATGCTGGAGAAATCGACAACTTTCTTGGACCCTGGGCAAAATATATTGATGAAAAAGACCTGGCTAAACCATCAGAGGTAAATGTCTTTGTTTAATACTAGATAGATATTTTTGAAGTGGTGCCATTAATAGTGCTTTTGTAACAGTAACAATATGTTTTTGGAATTTTTGTGTATGATTTTATAGGAAGAGAGGAAGGAGCTAGAAGAAATTCTGGCCAAGAGGCAGAAGAAGGGAAGAAACGAAGAAGAGGCTCCATCAGAGGAAAAGACTATTCTGCACAGTACAATTGCTTTTTTATTCCTAATAACATTATGCTTTATCTAGCAACATATTACATTTAGATTTTGCCTCGTCAAATGTTGAATATTGGAACTTTTAACCATTGACTGTGACCTTGTTTCCACAGTCAAAGACATGTACGATTACCAGGGAAGGTCGTACCTCCACGTTCCACAGGATGTGGGCACCAACCTGCGCTCTGTAAATGTTCCAGACAAGTGTTATCTGCCAAAAAAACAGATTCATGTTTGGTCTGGACACACCAAGGTCAGTACAAATGGACAATGTGTGGCTTTTGTTTTGATAAACAACATTATATATGTCTTTGTTAAAACTATTTTCTTATTTTAAACATGTATTATCCTATTATATTATAATAAAATATAAATTACTATATCACTTAAACACTGTGTCCTATTTAAGGTTTTATATCCATAGCTTTGTGCATCTTGTTAAAAGCTTTGGGAGTTTTAAGCTGTTGTAATTTTGCAACAGCCATGGCTTTGTAGTACACGCTGCTTTATAATTGCTCTATATATTTTCTCAGGGTGTCAGTGCAATCCGTTTGTTTCCCAGCTCTGGTCATCTGCTGCTCTCCTGCTCCATGGACTGCAAAATTAAAGTAAGTAAAAAATATTTACTAGTCTTTATACACTTTATAGTGGCGCTTTGGCCCAGAGGCAATGTCTCTGTCATTGGTGTGGAACCCCAGGGTTCACCTCCTGGGCAAGTTCGAATCCCGGTTAGGGCGGTTGGTACCTTCCAGTGGACTCACCACCCGCAGGAAGGTTTAGGTACGGTGCAATGTGATTTGGGTGGCGACTGCTGCCCCCGCGACCCGGTAACGGATAAGCGGATGAAAATGGATGGATGGATGGATATACACTTTATTAATAATTTGTAAAATTGTATTGAATGTTGTTTATTCTTCATTCAATTGTGTTTGAGTCTTCAGCAATCCTGCGGCAATTTTTCATTTTATTTTCATTGTCGTCTCTTCACAGTTGTGGGAGGTGTACAATGAGAGGAGGTGTATACGAACATTTATTGGTAAGTGTGTTTTGTTACTCCTGTATAAAATTGAATTTATATAAAATCTAAATTTATTCATACAGTAAATTAATATTAATAGAAATCAAAAGTGCCCGGTCATGAATAGGAATTAATTTGCATTAATTAAAGGCTTTGTCATGTAAATCTCAATTAATTAAATCAAGCAATTTCCTCAAATACTTCTATCAAAAGCTGTTTAATTTAGATTTAAATCAAGTAAAATGTTTTTTTTCCCTTCTATATATATTGATCTGTTCATTTGTGATTTGTCTACGTTCACAGATGAATGCAAAACACAACAACTATTATAGCTTTTATATTCCACATTTTAGGACTTTTAACCCATCACCTGGTCTATTTTGGAGGTATTTTCCATATGAGCAATAAATATACAAACATACAATATTGTGGACAGTTACACAGTCTATTAAATAGGCGCTGAGGTCTTACACATAACATTTGATCATTTTGATAAATGTGTTATTTCGTGACTACTTTCGTATTTACGGACTAATAATACATCTGCCAGCTGTTAACTAAAACCGTTAGGATTTTATTTCTCGGACGAATTAGAGTTGGGGGAATTTCGATTAATGAATGCAGGTCACTCTTGCTCTCTCCTGCAAGACAGCATGCTGTCAGAATAGTCAGCTCCTTCACAGAATATGCATTATTCAGCAGTGAGGAGCCAGAGGGGAATGGAGGAGCAAGATGGAGAACAACCACAGTGAGGAATGGGTGCAGAGGAATAGAGACAACACAATTCAGAAGCGAATAAACTCATGGAGTGAATCAGTAGAAGAACAGAGTTATGGTGCAGAAAATGTTTAGTCTTTACTGGGCTCTTTCCACACTGCATTCATCTGTCACGTTTCATGTGCATATATTTATTCCAATTATTTAAAAAAAAAATATCACTGAACCTCTGGAAGCAGGTAGAAGAAACTGTTATGCCAGAGGTAGTATTGATGCATAATCTTAATTTGCATTGATGGATGCAGAACAAGATGAAGGGCATGTCAGACGTGTGCCGCGTTGTCAGTAGTCTTGTGTACCCCTGCGTATACACTCTTGCACACATCAAGTCTGTTTGCAGCCTCAGCAATGTTGCTTTTTTGTCTGTCAGTAAGCAGCAGTACTGGAGTGAGAGAGCAGGCAACCACTTAGCCTCTGTAGGCCCTGTTATCACTGTAGAAACAGCTTGGTCCTGATAAAAGCCAACTTTCACAACAGAAGCGTCTGCGTTCCTGTCCCACTGGGACCTCACTTTACTGCTGCTCCACCAGGATAAAGCCAGTAGGATCAAATAGATTAGGAGCACAGGGAAAAACAGTGATTTGAAGTTGTTTTAAAGTTAAATTTCTCTTCATTCCCTCTTTCTGTTCTGTTGACAGTCCTGTGTTAATAAGTAATGACCCAGAAAAGCAGCTGGAGCCCTTTAGAACTGACTGGAGTCCATTTGTTGTTTAATGTGTATGCATTCTCCCTGTACTCCTAGGTCACAGTAAAGCAGTACGAGACATTTGCTTCAACAACAATGGGACTCAGTTCCTCAGTGCTGGCTATGATCGATACCTGAAACTCTGGGACACAGAAACTGGTAAGATGTCCCCCTCTGTGCATGTTGTGGTCTACTTTGTAAAAGAAAACCAAGTAGGGATGCAAGTGTTTCTGGTTCTGATAAAATGCTATCAAATACTTATACTGTGCATTGTTGTATTTATATATACAACAATGCTTGCATGTGTGTTTTTTCCACCCTTCTCGTTTAAAAAATGCCTCTCCAGCAGGGGGCAGAGAAGAGCTGGTGGTTAATCAAATGATCTATGTAGAGTCAAACCATCCAAATAATTGTGCTAAAGGTTAATCCTGTGCTGCTGGGATTCATTAAGATGGGTCAGCAGGGAAGGTTTATTGCACCAGTAAATGCCGGTTTAGTGCGGTTTCACTTGGGATTGTCGTCATTTATTTTCTGTTCCTTTAATTCCTATGTTGATTAATTTTTGCTAAATGAGCAAAAGGAAAACCTTTTACTTTTTACTTGCTAAGACAAACACAAAGAGTCCCAAACCTTCAGATTTGAAATAATCATTGTTTAAATAATGATTTACATATTAGTGAATATTACTTTAATTTTATGTCCATTTACAGGCAAATGCATCGCACCCTTCACCAACAGAAAGGTTCCGTACTGTGTCAAGTTCAACCCAGATGAGGACAAACAGAATCTCTTTGTGGCCGGCATGTCGGACAAGAAGATTGTACAGGTAAAGTTATGTCCAGCATAGGTTTACGAACGTCCCAGTGGACAATGCAGACATCCACTCTCAATTAAATGTCCACCACCCCTGCTGTGTACACACATTGTCATGGATTACACAGGTCAACTTGCAGTGCCAGGAGCTGTTTAAACCGCAGACTAAAGCAGATCAATATTCGCAGACAGCATCAGAGTGGAGAGGAGGAAATCACAATCTGTTGAAACAGATGTTGTAAAATGTTAAATAAATGTTTATTAATATCAGTTAACAGATTTCCACTGCAGAAAAGACTCAAGGACCCAAGGATGAAATGAAAAAAGGGATTTTTACTTTCTATAATTTGTTTTCAGTTTTTATTTCAAATATATCTTCATCCCTAAAACGTGGTCATTATAATCAACATCTGGTAGAGTTTTTAGGAATCACATCCACCACTTTTGTCTCTGTTCTGGGGACAAACGGCTGTTGTTTGAATAGAGAAAGACGGGTTTTAACAAAATGAGCAGAAATAGAAAATATGTAAAAGTCTGTCTGACGGAACTCCATCTGTTTTAGGAGACTATAATAGCATTTTAATTTCCAGTTGTGCACAGTTTTGTACTAGTTGTAAATATTTAATATTCATTAGGTTAAATTAGATTAAAATATTTTTTTAAGCTGAATTTGAAACAAACATTTAAATGACACTCTGTCCTTCCTTCTCCATCAGTGGGACATCAGAACGGGCGAAGTTGTCCAGGAGTACGACCGCCACCTGGGAGCTGTCAACACCATCACCTTCGTTGACGAGAATCGGCGCTTTGTTAGCACATCGGATGACAAGAGTCTACGTGTTTGGGAGTGGTGAGTACGAGCTCACATACTGTTACAGTATACTTGTTATCCTCACACCAACAACCTCTGTTTGTCTGGCTTTTTATGCCGCTTCACTCCACGAGCTGTCACCTTACCTGTCAAAGAAAGTGCAATATAATCTGTTTTTGTGTGCAGTGACTCAACAGTAGGTGCAGCTATAGTTACAGTATTTGTTTCTGTGTAAACATGGAAAGTACATGGCACATTTTTTAAAATTATTTTGTACTTTGAGTGTTTTAGAGCGTTTACATTGCAGAATTAGTCATAATTTACTAGAACATTCCCCCCTATCATATTTCTGGGGGGCGGTTGTGTGAGAGGAAATGCAGGGCTGGAAACGATTGTTATGCAGCAAAATCACATACAAATTCCCTTCCCATCACAGTTGGATCAGGAGAGTTTACAATTTTAGCAAGTATAAAATCTTGTGACTAATTTGACGCATCTCATCTTTGACCTATGTTTTCTCCTAGCCTGAATCAAAAACCTTTACATCAGCCTACATGGTAAACAGTGTATGCACTGCACAAGATTGTGACTGAATTGACAGAAATGGTGTTTTTGTTTGTGACATTTGCCCTGAGCTCGTTTTAAGGTTGCAAGTACTCTGGTCATTTTCCTTCTGTTTTTTTTTGTGTGAGAGCAGCTGCCATATGAAACAAATGTATTTTAAAATATCTTTAATAATCTTTCTGATTATTCTGCCATCCACCATCAAAGCCATCGTCCTGAGTAATCACGCTGCTCTCTCTGCGTTTTTCAGGGACATCCCAGTGGACTTCAAGTACATTGCTGAGCCAAGTATGCACTCCATGCCAGCTGTGACACTCTCCCCCAATGGTGAGTAGTTGATCATACCAAAACACTTAGACACTAAATGCCAGGCTCACTGTGCAGTCGACTCCAGGGAACATAAACATACAGTATATTAGCAGGCTCTTGTCCTGGCCATATATATATACATATATAGATATATGTATATATCTATATATAAACACAAATGCATACGTATATATGTATGTATATACACATACATACTTATACATTTGTACATAGATACACAGATACATGTAAACACAAACACACTCACACATAACCAAATGACTGCACTTATTTGCCCTGGGTGCACCAGCTGTCACAAACACCCCACTGGGTGCAGTTCAAACACAGCAGTGTCTCTGTGTTGCGTTAGAGGGAATGGCAAATTAAACAGCAGCCACGAGTTTCAATTAATGACATGTCAGTGTGCTCCAGCAGGGATGAAAGGACTTACATGTGTGAACGCAGTGATTAGAAATCTGTCCCACTGTCACAGGTTTTGTCATTTTAATCCCTGAAAGCTATGAAATTTAAATAGGGGGGAAATGAACCAATATTGTCAGTAAATTAATCAGGTTAATGGTCAAAATAGAAGGCAATATGTAGGAATATATGTATTTCCTCAATATTCATCATTTATTCCACTGATGTACATGGACCAGAGGCCTAATGCCCGGTAGGAGATGTTGTTGACCTTATTTCCATTAGTCTTATTGATTTCACAGATTTTAGGTTTTGCTGTGGCATTATTGTAACATTTTTGTACACACTAATACTAATGCTGCATTCTTTACTATTTTCTTACTATTGTTCTGTGTATTTCTCCAGGTAAATGGCTCGCATGTCAGTCCATGGACAACCAGATTCTCATCTTTGGAGCCCAAAACCGCTTCAGGCTGAACAAGAAGAAGATCTTCAAGGGTCACATGGTGGCTGGTTATGCCTGCCAAGTGGACTTCTCCCCAGACATGAGGTAAACAGTCACTGACTTATCTGATGAGACGGCACTTTTATCATAATTGAAGATTGAGTCTGAGAAAACCAATAGTTCATAATGGTTGCTTGTTAAATTCCGTACTGTTTGGCATTGAGGGATGAAAGAGCCATTAAGAATATTGAATGATCAATTGCTGTTTATGTGGTTTGTCAGAAGCAAAAGAGAGGCCACCACACAGGCAGTTGTCATTATGGAGAAAATGTTTTGCAGTTAAAAGCTTCTGATTTTGTCTTCTAAAACCTGGATTTGTGGAACACAGCTTCTTTGTCCAACTGTCCACTGTCCAATCCTTGACAGTCCAGAACCTCAACTTCAGCTAAAATACTTACAATTCTCCCACTTTTTTGGGTGTTGCTGTGCCTTACCATTCGTCTGTGAACCCTTCTTTCCTCTGTCAGTAACCATGGCTACACTTCAATGCCTATTTGACTAAATGCCTAAAATTTAAAGTTTTAACACACACCTTTTGTCAGGTGAGAAAAGAGCAAAGTTAATCATAGCTGCTGCTAATCCTTCTACACTTCACCTCTCATGTCTCTCCCTCTTTATTTTCTGTACAAATCAGTTACGTGGTGTCAGGAGATGCAGATGGAAAGTTGAACATTTGGGACTGGAAGACCACCAAGCTCTACCACCGAATCAAGGCTCACGACAAAGTCTGCATCAGCGCCCTGTGGCATCCACACGAAACCTCCAAGGTTATCACCTGTGGCTGGGACGGGCAAATCAAGCTTTGGGACTAAAGTGTGTGTGTCATTAAAAGATAGATGGAGGTGGTTTTTCCAATTTACACTTTTTTTTTGTGAAAACCTACAGGACTGGTATCCAGTCTTATTGTGTCAGTGTCTGTCTCTCCCTGACATCCAAAGCTATGTACAAGTCTGGCTAATTACAAATGATAAAAACACACCAGGAAATATTTTTTCTGAAACAATACTAACAGATCTGTGTAATAAATGTCTTTCTATCCATGTTTTGACAGACGACACAATAAGCTTTTTATAATAAATTGGTGTCTAACAGGCCTGACAGCAGACAGTCTCTCAACAGAGAATCTTACTTTTGTTGTGTTGTTTCTGAGGAGTTCTGGAATTAAATGCCTTATTCCAGAGCCCTGCTAGAATTACAGATGCATTTTATACTTGAGAGGTTTATGACATAGATTTGTTTTTTTGTTTGCTTTTTTTTATTATTAAGTATTACATGTTAAATTGACAAAATTATGTACAGTTATACTCTGTACTATTTTGAGAGTTTTGTCATTCATTTTCCAACCATTTCTTTGTGGAAATAAACTTTCTGTGAATTTTATGTCCTTAGGTCACACGCATATTATACATGTCTGGGAGAAAGGCTTTATTTTTCTTCAATTGTTCCAAAAACCTCCGTTTTTATTAAGGTGTATTTTTATACCATTCCTATCAATTGAAGTTAATTCTATCACAGGGCCATGTCCCAATTATTTTAGTTCTTCACATAATTTTGATTATACCCATTATGATAGACTTGAGCAGCTCAGCTGTGATTGTTCCTCTACGTTAAGTTCCAAATACGTTTACTCTGTGTGGTGAGCCATGTGTGCAATTTATTATCTAGAATGAGGCCAGATATTGTCATGTTGAAATATTCACTGGCTATCTGTGAAAACAAGGTGTTTGACTTAGGCACCTGTCTATGTACTCCACTTTGAGGGGAGGTTTTCATCAATCTTGAAAAAAAAAAATCCTATTCAAGACTATAAAGGAGTGAGATGGAATTGGAAAAAACTTATTCTGATGCTCTTAAAATGTGAACAGACCAGATTTCCATTTAGGATGGTTAAAAATTTGAGACACCTTAGAGGCTTGTCTTAAGATCAAACACCTTTTGAAATGATTACATATTTTTTTAACTTTAACTAACTTTCCCCTGTTCAAGCCTCTATATTAGTGGGTTCTTCACAGATACAGATCCACATCAATATCATCAGGAAAAGATTTTGCTTCGACTTTTCTGGAGATTTCTGGACTTGAATTTGATCTGTAAGGACTCTGTCCATTCCTTCTATCACAACACAACTCTTCTAACTTTGAAGCTTAGCATTTCAGCTTTTTTTTCTGTGTTCTCTGAAAAGGTCCTGATGATGAGCAGAAGGGACTTGGCCGTGAGTCAAGTCCAGATACCACCGCAGTGATGTGTGAGTCAGACTGGGGCTGACCTGCAGCCAACAACAGAGCTACTGTGAGGTAGAACAGAGAGTCAGCCTCTGGGGGCAGTTACTCTGCTCCCCTGCACGGCTGAGGTCATCACGGGCCAGGGGAGCAGGAAGATAAGCTGGTACTGGAGCTTTTTACTTTTATATAAAGTTCAAGAGTCCAGAGTGGCCGAGCCTAGCAGTTTTTTTTTCTTGCTTGAAGAATTTTACAAAAACCCTCCAGCACTTCTCACGGCTTCCACTGTGTGTTCACCCAACTTAAGGTGTAAGAGCTGCTGGCGTTGAGGATGTTCTGATGCAGGAAAAGTTGTGGTTTGTTCGGGTCAATGTAAACATGGAAGAGACGGAAGTTGGCCCGCTCCAGCTCTTTGAGCAGACTGTACCAGTACCGCACCACAGACGGGTCATCGCCGCCCACTTCAAAACCGGCCCAGTGTAAGTGAAACTCCATCAACATCTGACCAACTGAGTCCAAAACACTTTCCAGAACTAGATTCTCTAAAATCTTCCACTCGGCACTCTCCATGTCTGCTTTAAGTACATCCACCTATGGAAAGGGAAAAAATGCACTTTAGATTATTACTGTTTTTACTGTTATTACACTGGAATGATACTTAAGTGTAGGTGATGGAGGCAAAAGCTTTAAAATGATGAAAATTAAATGAAGTTGAAGTAGTTTTTTTCTGGTAAATTGAGAGAAGAGAAGGCCTGAAAAGGCTTTTTATGCCACAGCTAAGAGAAAATGTTTCATAAGATGAATGTTAATGGTACCCTAAGGTGATATTCATTTAAGTAGATCCACACTTTCCTATAATTTATTACACATCCTCAGGAACCTGTGGATTTGTCTGAGTTATAAGTTGTTAAAGATACCCATTGTCTGACTTTCAAGTGTTTAAAAGTCCCATTGATAATGACGGTAACTTTGTCCGTGTTTTATCACACAATTACCATAGTCATTTCCATACAACCTGAGCAGAGATTTAAAACTAATAAATTAATAATACATTATTGCATTAATCCTTTGAGACAGAAGCCAAATGAAACTCCAAGTTATCTCTGTTAGGGATGAGAAAATCATCTGCCACCCTGACAGTGCAGATATTAAAGTGGCCAAGAAATCCTACTTCAATAGATGCCTCTGTGGTGGCAGTGCGGCAGAATTCCCTGACCTCATTAGCTGACGAGAACAAGTCTCAGAAACTCCAGAAAAAAGTGTCATCTGTGGAGAACAAGCCCAAATGTTCTCCTGTGCCCGGCCCCTCGGGCCCCAAATATCCCACAAGCAGAGGCATGTTACTTTAATTGGACAGAAACCTTGTAATGGAAAATTATGTGGCATCATCAGGAGGTGGTGTGTTCACTGGTCTCCCAGGAGAGTGTGTGTTTTCTCTGTGCATTATTCTCTGTTTGAATTGGCTCACATGGCGCTCAGCCTATATCTGTCTGAACATCGTTTTTTAAATTATTATTATTATAGTATGTTCAATATAAATGACTCTGTCTCCTTGGTCTCACATCTAACAGTACCAATCATTTGTTCTCTCTGCAGGGAGCTCACAGGCTCTGACAGGACTCCTGTCTGGGCTCAGCTACGGTACAGATGGTGTCGGATATTTTAACAGACAACACTGAGCACAGTCAGCCAAGCTTAGTCATCCATCGGTACTGTACTCTCACAACTTTCTCTTTCCTTTTAAGAAGTTATGACAAAACAAAAACAGACTATTACCCCCTGACTTCCTGCCCCCACAAGCCTTTCCTTTAATACTCCACTAAATTTTATTTAGGACTTTGTTTTAAAACACTTTATAGAACATTTCATCCTCATAGAACAATACATTTATAAAATAAACTAAAGTCAGTTTTGTTTGCTGTGGCATAGATATAGAAAATATTGAAATTAAAGCTAATTTTCCTTTCTGTGACGCTCCCTAAAATAGCTCTCTACCCCATTTGAGAGGCCCGCCCCACCGTTTGAGAACCACTGCTCTAATGTTTAATCCTCAAAAGGTTTGCAGGAGAGCCAAAGCTGATTCCAGCAGCCGACAGGTGAGTGCAGTCCCCGATCAGGACTAAAATTTTGATCTCATGATCTTTTCTCTAATCACTTGTTTTTTAATCTCATAAGCTTACCTTAATTTACCTTTGTAGTATAACAAAACTAAAATCAGTTTGAATTAAACTCTCATCAATCTGATTCTCTTATAACGAGAATTGTACATTATTGTAAAAGAGAGTCTAACTGTTAAATGCATTCCAGTTGAAATGACTGGAGTCACCATAATACTAAGACTGAAGGAAAACAGATGAGACAGACATATAAATGTTAGTCTTTCCTGAAGACTGTTTTTCCTCAGGATTTCATTTGTCCAGAGCTGATGGTGCTTTATTGGCCAATTACCAGTATGATCAATGGTTTGATATGCTGTCCTTTTCCACTAAATGAGATATGACTGCTGCTGCTGACATTTGTCCCTTTGGTGCAGTGTCTGCTGCCTCAGCTGGACACTGCTGTTCTTCGTCTTCAGAGCATGAGTCACTGGCTGCTAGTTATTAGGCAACACACAGATAAGAAAGTGTGCAGCGTGCACAAATGCATATTTCAACCTTTTCATTACTCTGATTTTTTTTTCTCAACTGCTGCTATTTCCTGTCACAAAGGCTTTTCTGATAGTGCTGCTGCTGCTGCTGCTGCTGCTGCCGCTGCTGCTGCTGCCGCCGCCGCCACCGCTGTCATCACTGCTGCTGCTCTGGTACACTGTGTACTCGCATTAAAATCTCATTACTAGGATGTGTATGGCCCTGCATTCAAAACAGATGAGTAGCTGTCATCTGTAAAACAGTGAAGGGAACAAACCCAAAACATATTTGTTTAATTATTGACATTTATATTCTCACATACTCACAAACACATTTAAAGTCTAAAAGCTAAATGTTTATTTAAAGATATTTCCTGTTATATATATAGGATATAGCATATAGGGAAAAGTTGTCAGAGAAAGACACCAGCCAGTAGAAATGATTGTAGATTATACTGGGTATATATATATATATATATTAAGAGTTTACTCTGATTATCTCTATTCTCTCTTACCTGTGCATGGCCAAATTCATTTAGGATGGTTTTGACATGCTGATGCTGGGCGACAAAGGAAGGGTTTGGATCCCTCCAGTCCACGGAGAGCCGATGGAGCCACATGTCAGCCTGCAGCAGGTGAGGCTGCTTCAGACTGGGATCAAAGCAGTGGATTTCACATCCTGACCTGGAGAGAGAACGCTCCAGGGACCGGTCCTCCACTCCCAACCTGGAGCCAAGATGGAAAAAGACATCAGGTCAGAGGTGAGTGTACGTGGCGCAGAATCAGGCTACTGGGAATTTCTTGACAAAAACAAATTGCCAGGAAAAAATCTTAAAATAAATTCGCAAAATATGTTTAAAGACTAATAACAAAAAAACAATAACAAAGGTCTTTTTATGCTGAAAAATATTTTTGAAGTATATTACAGCATATTGTGGTGATCAATGGGGGGTCGCTAGCCGTAGCAATATCTTCTCTGTTGACAACACGTAGTAATGCAGTGGATTACACAGGTGGATGACTTTGTCCGTGTGTGTGTCAGACAGATGAACTATTGTGTCAACAGCCTGTCTGGACAACCTTAACACCGTAGACAGCAGCTACTAACAAATGCTGGGTGGGCGAAAGGACCGCTCTGCCACATTTTTCTTCTGAGTATCTGCTGTAACATCCTCTCTTATTTTTAGTTTCATAAACATCGTGTTCTCAAACCACTCCTTACGTCCATCTGTTCTCTCTCTCCCTCTGTTTCTCTCTCTCTCTCTCTCTTACACACACACACAAGAGACATCTCATGTCTCTTGCTCACAAATTGTAACCCATTAGCATAGTCTGATCAAAGAGTTCAGGTATGTTCAACTCCCCTGCTGTGCCTTAACCCATTTAAGTGCTCTGGATTTCAACAACTGCAACAGAGCCCAGAGCAGGAAAAGTTTCCATGAATGGACTTTACTTAATGAAGAATGAAAGTCTGCAGCATCTGTGGGTTAAGATAAGACCAACCCTCTTTAAACTATTAATGACACATGGAAACTGGACAGATGTCTCCTACCCTGGGACAAAAATTAGAGATTGATTTTATTTATTTTTTATTACAGATGGTTGAGTTCTCATGGATGCATTATTCAATCAAGTTTACTTTACTCTCTGTATTGTTCATGTGGTGGAGCAAAATATTTGAAAGCAATTTTGATAAAAACAACTAGGGAAAAATGAATGGGAGGCTGTAGGAGCAGTTGAAGGGGAGGGAGTTTAAGGAGGAAAAGTGAACGGTGGATAATTGGTCCTTCATGCGGAAAAGAATCCTGAGACACCCCACCTCTAAACCACACCACGTGACATACCATCTCCTCCTGCCCAGGCACATCTTTACATCCAGCTCATTAAACAGCATTAAGATGAGATACATCAACAATAGACACATTGACAGATGCAAAAATGACTTTTATGTGCCTGCTTTATTTCAGATTTTCTCACTGCTAACGCCTACTCTTGAGTCAGAGTGACTTTAATTAAGCCCTGAGGTTACACATAATCAGTAAGATTAGAAAATTATGATTCTAAAAAAAAAGTTTCTAGTATATACAATATTCAGAAATGACTCGTTATAATCCTCTCTTTTTTGAGGATCTGCGCTGATACAGTAGTTTTTCATGCAACCTTTCTGTTTCTGCAGAGTTGATTCCTGCAGTCTGTGCATTTGATCCCTGACATCTACACAGAGACAGCAGCAGCAATTCCACTTCCCCCTCCTTCCTTCTTAGTATACACCCACCTGGCTGCCAACACACCTGCTCTGTCCCTCAATAGCTAAATGAATAAACTCCTCTCGCCAGAGTCAACACCCAGCCTGACTTTTTGGCGGACCCTGAGCAGAGCCGAGGCTACTCCCAAAAGAGGAAGCAGGGCGGAGTCTGAAGATGTGGGTAAGGCTAAAAACAGTTAATTAAAATCTTTTAATTTGTATTTGTACTAAATTCAACTGTGTATAATTTAGTGCTAACTGATAAAAACTACAAAACTGTAGAATTTAGTGCTAACTGATAAAAACTACATTATTAATAGTAAATGAGAGTATACTGTATGTATATTTGATTGAGTCTATACTTACCCAAAGGAGTAGACCCTGCAGTGTTTGCCCTGCATCCTGTGACTGAGGCTGTACTTTGGGTCTAAACACACGGCCCAGGGACCGGTGGAACCTTCTGGAACTGTTTCCTGACCATACAGTGATGAACACAAGACCTAGGAATGAGGTGCGGAAACATGCATATTACTATATTGTAAATATTATGCGACAGATTTGAGCAGCAAATGTGATTGTGTGAAACATGTCAGTTCCATATGCATGCACATGAAAAACAATGTAAAATGTTTCAGTGAAACTCATTTTAGGAAATTAAGCTAAGTCAGACGAGCCTCAACTTGACCTTCTTTCTATGCAAAGACTTTTGTTAGCGCTTTTACATTACACAGATATCATCAATCAGTGATTCTCAACTGGTGGGTCACGGATTAGTTTTCAGTGGTTCACAGGCCTTTGACAAGGCAAAATAGTTGAGGAGAACAGTAGTCATAAAAAGAACTACATATATGAGTCTTTCAACTGTCAGTGGTCAGCGTTGTCTGAATTCTTCAGGAGACCAGTGTCTTCCCTTTGCTTATGTTATCAACAGCACTGTATGTGAGGCTTTTCCAACTTCTGCACATAGAGTCTGAAGTCTTATTTTCCCCCAGACGTTCACTCATATTTGTACTTCACTGTTTTCTCATTTAAGACATGCTCCTGTTTATCCTTCTATCAAGTTAGAAGTAAACAAATGTCTAAATATATATCATCACGTTATCATCTAAATGTTGAACAGCTGGAGCTTTGCTGTGGAGTGGGTTCTCTGTCTGCTCTTCTTAAGCTGTCTCTGCTGCACACATCCAGTTTTATGATTAGCAGTATTTGTTTAGGCATGAGAGTATGATGCTGCCACACCGCTCAAGCATAAATGTGATAGAAGTGTGTGTGTGTTCCAGCTATGTAAATAAGACAAAAGACAATACAGAAGAGAGACATGATTAGTGCTGTCCAAAAATACTCTGTTGTCAGGGAACGATGTGCTCGGTGCCGCAGCATCTCATTAAATCAAATCTGCTGTGCACTTGAAATTGACATCCCCCAAGTTAAAATTTGAAGGTTAAATGCACGGCGTGGTACAAATCTAAAATTTCAGTGGAACATCATGTAGGACGGTTCTCAATGAGTCGAGTGAGACGGAAAATAAATGACAGTTTTTTGTGCCTTTGTTTTCAAAAGAACGGGTAAACAAGGCTGAACGTGTGGGCAGCAAAGTCTAATGTATTTAAATTGATGTCAAATCTGCTTCATTGTGCACATCATTGTTCATTTGTTCCAGCTGTTGTTGACACAGATGCTGTCAGAGCAGAAAGAACCTTGACCTTTTTTCTCCCTCTTATCTGAAGACATGAACTGCTGCTTCCTGAACTGTTTCACTGAATAAGAGCTCTAGAGACCTGAAAGAATGTTTTCGTTTAGAACATACCATAGAAGAAGAGCAATTAGTGGAGTTAGCATTGAAAACAAATAGCAAGACTGAATGAGAGTTTCATGTTGATTAATGATAACATGTACCTAAGCATCAGGTCTTGATCTATAATTATCTCTACAGTGAGTTCATATTATAATACAGGCTCTTTCATTTCCTCCTGCCTGTGTGGGGGTGTGCTGCTGTATGGATGCTACTGATTGGACAGTTTTGTCACAACCCATCTCTGTGAGTAGCAGCTCCACCAGGCAGTGTGTCAGTCAGCATTACAGCCCCGCGGATGCTGCAACACTCTCATCCACTCCCCTCCACCAGCACCTGTCACTGTCAATGATGGACAGCTTCCTTCAAGGGCTTCCCAGAAATACACACTGTCACAGACACACACTGAGGGCCAGAGTCAATCTTTTATTCTGGAGGCGGGGGGAGGGTAGAGGGATTCTTGTCCAATCTCTATTTTTTCCACACTTGAACGAGCACAGGTTTTCCCTTTCTCACCCCCAGGACACACACTTGTCCTGGGAATAACTCATTATGAGCTGGATGTCTTCTTTTAAGAAGATACAAAGTCAGTGCTTCATCATACAGAGAGGAACCCTGTGCTGACTGTGGAGAACTGGAAGATGAGGAGTAGATTTATCCCTTAGACAATTAAAATAAAAAAGAGAACTAATGTAATCCAAACGTTTTGTATCTGTCTGCCGTGGTACATAAAAAAACAGAGATTATAAAGATTATAATACAGTATGTGTACTTTAAATTCATAGTAATTTAATACTGCTGTGGCTGTGCAGACAGAGCATCTTATTGATTAAGTGTAAAGCGAGGCCTTGATTATGTCTCTCATAATCAATACAGTCATTTATTATGGGTGTGCTGCACACATCCATGTTTACTACCTCCATCAAGGCCTGACATATGCAGTAAATTCACGCTGTCTTTAAAAAATACACCTTCAGTAGAGCAGCAACTGCCCGACCGTCAGCTGAGGTCTTTATTACAGATAGTTTGATGTTATGGCAGAAATAGTCTGAAGGAAATGAAAGACATTGTTGTTTCAGATGGGCTTCTGTAGAATGAAGAACAAGAATTAATTTAGAAAGATAATGCTTGAGAAAAGAAAAACTGTAGTCTTGGGCTTGTAAGTAAATGAAAAAAGTGTTTTAAGAAAATACTTTAAGAAACCTGTAAATCTTGAAAGCAAAACAAAGAAAGAGAGAAAAAGAAAGGAGCTGATGGAAAGAGGAAGGAAGAAAACAAGGAGGAAGAGAGGAAAGGAAGAAAGATAATTGCAGACAATAATTTCAAGATTAAAAGTTCTACAAATTGAATTAAGTTTCTCAGTTTATTACAGAAACCAGATTTAGTTTTTATTGTTTTGTTGTCAGTGATTCCAGCATCTCCAAGTAAATATCTGCAAAACTTTACATTGTATTTGTGAAAATATACTCCAAAAACTATTCATAACCAGTAACTAGTCTTTTACTACCATACAGTGTATCAGCGTAACGTTTATTCATGGAGAGTCAAAGTGAACGACTGTGACTCACTTGTGGTGTTGTGATGTAGCTGAGAAAACGTTTTGCTTCTTCCTCCAGGGAACGACTTTCACTGGCCCAGGGCTGCAGGTCTATGTGCCACCGAGGAACCTGCCATCACAAACACAGAACGGTAAATCCACAATTAACTGAGATCAAAGTAGGCCAATGATAGAGAAATCCAGTCCAAGGACGTGAACACAGGCAGCTTCATTTCATAACCCACTTTTTAGTGACTGGGTTAGAAGTAGGTCACGTTGTGCTCAGTAGAGAGCAAACATCTACCTGTGTGTTTATGTGACAAATAACAACTGCAAACATTCGTTTCCCTTGTTATGTCACTACAAATGGGGGCTGCTGTTCTGCTTTTCACATGTGAGAAAGATAGTTTGAACATTCACAGCTGTGTTTGATGCTGGAAGATCAGGATTTTTTAAATCAGCAGGCTGCAGCAGCTCAGTCCAGCAGAGCAGAGCCTGGTAGTGGATCTGGGCTGTAAGATCACATTCCTGAAAGCTGGCAGAGCTCAGCCTCACAGGCTGTTCCGTACACATTCCTGAATGTGTCTGTTAATGATCAGCGGACAGGGCATGAGAAGAAGAACAGGGAACAGTAGAAGGAGAAGGAGAAGAGAAGGTGAAGCAGAGTGAAGACGTGTTAGTTGGCTGCACAATGTCTAAGGAATTCTTGTCTCAGCTAAGTGTTAATGAGTGTCAGTGTAATCTGTAAATTAACATCAGTGATTTCTGTGTCAGCCTACATCCCTGTCGGTGATTGGTGTTTTATGAACACCCCACTTTGTTTTCAAATTTGATGTCAAACATATGCCTAGATAATCTAATCATCCATGATTGGATTATTTTGGCGAGTTCACGTCAGGATTATTCATGGCTGTGGGCACATCTGTGGAACGAAGACACTGAGCTGACATCGACATCTGTTTAGGAAAGTAATTCTTGGGCAGCTTAGAATTCTGTCCAATGATCCCATACAGTTTTTTTTTTGCACTTTGAATGCACCCCCATTGTACTCAACAAATGAATGTGATTTTCTAATGAAGCAAATGTTAACTGTCTGGTTGTTCATTTGACTGGTAGTGGACACAAAGCCTTGCATTGGCTGTTAAAAGTGTTCATAAAATTCTGACATTAATCAAATCAAAAAATGTACAACAGCTCCACCACAGTTTTGAAAGTAACTCCTGTTAAAAGTGTTCATAAAATTTAATCAAATCAAAAAATGTACAAAAGCTCCACCACAGTTTTGAAAGTAACTCTTGAGCCGTAGTCAAGATGCACAGTAAAACACCAAAGTCCAAAACTCTAAACTCTATGAACTCTATGAAGCTAAATTTTGAGTTTTGTACTGCAAATATTTCTTGACACTTTTATTTAATCATACCATCATTTAAATTAGTCACAAATAAAAACACACACATCTGCCAGTCTGTTCCAGCAACATGCAGTAGGTTTTTGTCATACTGATGAATGTTGATATATATCCATTGTAAGTATTCAGTAGGTAAGTATTCATGACTATTCATGAATATTTTATAGATACCCTGTGATTAATCACCATCACCTGCCACTTGTTTTAGCACCATATTTATTACAAACACTTTTACATAATTTAGTCCAATAAAATTCAGTGCACTTCCTCACAGTGAAACCATTAAGGCTGCATCAAGATCTAGAACCTTGCATGTAAATTACCACTAATACATTATCAATGACAGCACTGAATGTGGCTTCTCATCCTGCCGCTGATCTCATCCCAGCTCCACTCAGACAGACTTAAGATATGAATGAGTGACTGTAGATCCACGGAACAATATGTGACACTTGGCCTTGAATTGATTTGGAGCCAACTGGAAAGAGCTGAATGCTCGTGTCTCAACTCTTTTTTTTCTCTCTCTGGTGCTCTGAAGGCACCGTCCCTCTGTTCATCTCTCATTTCCCTCCTCTTTATTTTCTCCTGGCTCCAACACTTTGCTTGTCATTTCATCACTTCTTACTTTCAGCAGAGATTTACTTTTTTTTAATCTGCTGCACCTATGAACAGATTTAATGCAGTAGACATGGGGTTTCTCAGTGTAGTCTTTATCACATGCTGTCGATATTTCTCCTTTTTTTAGCTAGGCTTTTTTTAAATTGTCTTGTCAGTACTTTGCTCCTAAATTTACTCCTCAACTACTAGGTCCAAGAACTGCTCAAAATGTGCTAGAGTGGGTTCATGTCTAAATCTAACTTTGCAGATTATTCCAAAAGCACTGTTTAATTCAATATTTGTTTCTGTATTCTCAGACACTTAAAAGTCCTCAGACGTCCTTGTCCCCGAGCTGCACTTGACATGTTTTTCCTGCCGACTCCCTGAAAAGCTCAGCTGTCCACCTTTTGCATCAGCTTGGTGCAGGTTGGGGCAGGACTACTGATCAGAGACAGATGCGGGGGGACAGCAGACTGAGCCTCCAGTGTGTTTAGTGCAGCAGAGCGAGGCCGGTAAGGGGGGAATCAGAGAAGCAAAGGACAGTGTGAAGGTTGAAGACAGCCACAAATGTGCTGACATGGGAATTTAGTAGAGGAAATTGAATTATTCACTGCTTCGTTGTCAGGTAGAATTTAACTAAAATCTTTTTTCCACTCAGGTTGGAATAATTATACTCACAGCTACAGTATCACAATATTTTGTATATACATAGGCTCCAGAGAGGCAACACAGGGATGTTGTGAATGGTGAATTGTGTTGTGAATGGATCTGAGAGACCACGTGTTTTTGTATGCACACATTATACGATTGCACTACAAGCCCAAGAGCTATTACTAATTGCTGAATCATCAGTGAGTGGAAAGAAGATTAGTGTTAAGCTACATGTTCAATCAAGCAACAGCAATTTATCAGACGTCAGGGACAGCAGTGTTGAGCAGGAGAACAAACACACCCGTCACTGGGACAGAAGTGAAACATCAGCTGTTTAAATGTGTCCCATGACGGCAGCTGTAACAAATAGTCGGGTAGAACATTTCAGGTTATGACCTTTACAACGTAGTGAGTACTGTCATCTTAAATAAGACATTTATCATTTTGAAGAAATTCCCAAAAAGTCCCAAGAAGATCAGAAAATACTGTAATCATAATAATTTACCAATTTTTAAGGAATTGTTTATTTAATCTATGAGATAATGACATTGACTTTTATTCAAACACCTTCTTGACACAGCGTTGTCTTTACTTCTTGTTTACAGGGCTTTTCTGTGTGTCCTGATGCAGCTGGGTGTGGTGTGCATCTGAGCCTCAGTGTGAGAAAAGAGGTGTGAGCTGCAAGGCCAAGCATGAATAATCCCCAGAGGCGAGGAGGATGGCTCGGTGAACAAGCGATGACTGGATAAAATAAGAGACGGACGTCTGACAGAACAATGATGACAGGTGAGGAGAGGTGGGAGCAAGTGTGAAAGACTCAAAAACACCGTCAGAGAAACTGAATATTGCTGTGACGTCAGCGCCTATAAATTGATTGATGCCAAGAATAAACAGAGCCAATACATAACAATCGATGATAGTAGGACACGGTGCAAAAGGTGTTAAAAAAGAGTTTCATCAGTGTATCGGATATCAGGGAGGAACCTTCCACAGGTGAGCTGGATTTGGAAACTTACATAAAAGAAAAAGCAATTTTGTCAGCCAAAGTTTCTGGTATATTGCCAGTGTAGCTTCTCTTTGGCAGGCTTCTTCTTGTGTCTATTTTGAGCCACGAGGGAAAAGAGAAGCTGATGTTTGATTAAGCCGCAGGTTGTTGATTTGTAGTTTACCCTTGCAGAGTATAAAAGCAGTGAATGTTCTTAGGAACATTTTACATGAAATGCCTTAATTTGGATGATTTGCCTCTGTAGCGTAGAACCACTACTCGCTCTAGCAATGAAAGATTCAGTTGATTAAGATACATTCAAAATTCTCCTTTATCACAATTTAACAATATTACTCACTAAATTCTATGATTGATATTACTCTGAGAGACTGGTGGTCAGGACAGACCCTGCTGTCTCTGCTTCCCACAATCATCTCTATTCCCTCACCCCCTCAGCCAATCCCAGCTCCTTGAGAGAAGAGGCTCAGAGTGGGAATAACAGAATTAAAGTAGAGGATTACCATGATCTCTTTTTAATAAGGACACTAATCTCTGAAGAAGTTTAACACTTGCTCTCGAAGAAGGCGGACGCTTTTCCCCTTGCTCCCTTCCTCCCCCAAGGGGACCCCTTGTCAATTATTTGTATTGTTTTTATTGTCTATTCACGTTTTTTTCTTGGAACGGGTCGTACAAAACTAAATTTCGTATCACCTTCCCTGGTGCATATGACAATAAAGAGATTCTGATTCTGATTCTGATAACGTCAGTCTCCAAAGCAGAGTGATGCCATAAAAGGAAGTCTGTAAGGAAGCGGAGGTGATTAGTGGTGGTGGATAGTGGTGGAAGGAGAGGTTCTCCTCCTCAGGTCTCCTTAAGTCTAAACTGTACTGTGTAGAAAGTAGTTATTGTCTGAATACGACTGTAGAAGATGTTCATTTGCTATCACATTGATCTTTCATAAAAATAAAAGGAACCCGTGGGTCATTTTGACTGTCATCCAGCTCCAAGCAAAGCCAACAGTCGCTCTAATATCTGTCCTCTGTCTTGTCCTGGTACGCACCGTTCACTGAAATCTTAGTAGAACTATCTGTCACCTTGGAAACACACTTTTCTTCCTGTCACATCATGCATGTGAGTGAACATACATGAAGGCAAATTCAGATGTTTTTATTCACCGCAGTTTACATGAAAAGCACCCTGATGTAGATCGACGATGCTGAAGGCACTCTGTCGTCTGATTTTTATCTCATCCTGTCATGGTTGGGCCCTCGTGCTCCTCAGAAGACAGATGGGCTGTTATTAAAGGCACGCAGTTAAAATCGGCTGCTCATCTATGCGGGCGTCTTCCTGGACTATATCCCAGATCTGAGATCTGTGTCTAACGTGTCTCACTGGCGACAAGAGAAGGATCTTGTTGAGTGCCATATGATGCTCACGTCCTGTGACTCAGACAAACAAAAGAGACAACGACGTAAACAGAAACAAGTGTTGAATTTGTTTTTCTTATAACATCAAATTCATGACAGTCACCCATGGTGTGGCCTGTGCTGAAATGATCACTATTAATTAAATCATAGGAATAGTACTAGTTTTTCAGTGAAATGTTCTGCTTCTCATTTATTGATTCTGAGCAGTATCTCTCCATGTGTTTGACATTCTAATGATCACTGGGTGTTATCTATCACATTGATATAATACTTAGTGAGTTTGAGATTGAAGCAGAAAACTGTCTTTTCACACTGAGACAGGTTGTGGTTTTTAAAAAGCAAGTATTTTTGGTCTGCATGAGGTTTTGCAAGAGGAAGTTCAGCTTTAAGGGATTGTGATAAAAACAACGGAGGCGGGCCGTCCCATTTCTGAGGTCAGTGCGTTCATTCATATCAACTGGTGGGAGGTTTAGCCTTACCATCGTGAAAAAA